CGACGGACCAAACCTAACCTAGAGTTGAAAATATATGAGTGAGTAAGTGAATTTGGGCAAAAATCAACCTAGAATACTTTGTCTCCACAATTTTATTTAGTTCCCGCCCTACATTTGAATTTCAAACTTGTCCCGATTTCGCCGCCAATCCTCTAGCCAATAGTATTAATAGTAATATTTTAGTATATTAGTATAATAGTAATTTTTTTTTTTTTTTTTTATAGAAGAAAGTGGCAGAAAGCAAAAATGATGACAAAAATTACAAAGTTAGAATGAATGAAACACAAACTACCAAGAATGAAAGAGGCGACACGTCACAAGATTCTGACTACGAAAAAGTAAATTCATCAGAAAGTCTGTGTGGAAAGCAGGTAAGAATCCAAATCTAGTTTTATTAAGAATTTTGAACTCGCTAATTTTCTAAAGTTGTATTCAGCATTGGGACAGTAGCCTTAATTTGAATTTTTATCCATTTTATTTAGAACATAAAACTGCTAAGAAAACTGGAAAATAAAATGTTTTAGTTATTTTTCGTATTGTTGAAGATAGTACGACTCAAAATACATGCATTAAAATGAAGATTTCGTCTACTGACGTAATAACTTGATGGTTTTATAAATTTTTATATTAAATTTAAATTAATTTTTAACCAGTATTTTACATCAGAAAAAAATTTTAAAAAAATATTTGTTTTTTTTGTTCAAATAGTAGTTTCTACCTTTAAACTTGTTTTTCTAAAATCAGAAAAAGTTTAATTTGAGGGATTATCATCCACCTTCCTCAATTATATTTTTATGGAATTGAGACCCATAGAAGGTGCAGAAAGGGATTTTTTTTTTTTTTTTTTAGTATGAAGAGAATAATATGTGTATGTGTTTTGTTGTTTTTTTTTTTTAGAAGAAAGTGGCAGCAAGCCAAAATGATGACAAAAATTCCAAAGTTGGAAAAAAGGAAACACAAAATTCCAAGACTGGAATAGGCAACACGTTGCAAGGTTCTGACCACAAAAAAGTAAACTTGTTAAAAAATCTGTCTTCAAAGCAGGTAAGAATCGAAATTTACTATCAATAATTATTTTAAATTTCATAAGTACTTCACGGTGACTTCAATGTAATTTTTGTATCTTTTTTATTTAAAACACGAAACGACTAAGGAAACTGGAAACGTAAATGTTTTGTTTTTTTTTTTTTCATATTATTGGAAAAAAAGAGCTTTGTCCAAAATACATGCATTTAAATGAGGATTGCGCACAGAGACGTTAAAAGGCGGTGAATCTATGCGTTTTTGGTTTTATCTCAAAACGATTTTAAACCACTGTTTTCCAACAAAAAACATATGCCAAAAATATTTGTTTTCTTGGTTGAATCAGTAGTTTTGAGACTTTAAACTCCTTTTTCTGGAAATGAGAAGAATTGCACTTAGAGGCATTGTACCCTAACATCCTCAATTGTACCTGCATGGAATTTAGACGTGTATGAGATGCAGAAATAACTTTTCTTTTTTTATAACAATATTTTTTGTATCTTACACATAGAGAGAATTTTGTGTTTATTTATTTTGTTTTTTTTTTTATAGAAGAAAGTGGCGGAAAGCAAGAATGAGTACAAAAATGATGAAGTTGAAATGAAGGAAACTCAAACTTCCAAGAATGAAAGAGGCAACTTGTCACAAGGCTCTAACAACAAAAAAGTAAATGCAGTAAAAAATCCATCTGCAAAGCAGGTAAGAATCTAAAATTTACTATCAATATTTATTTTGAGTTTCCTGTAACTTTAATATAAATTTTTATCTATTTTATTTTAAACATGAAACTCTAAGCAAACTGGAAACGAAAATGTTGTGGTTCCTTTTTATATGGTTGTAAAAGAGTACGGCCGAAAATCCAAGTGTTTAAAAGGTGGTTACACGAATTGATGTTACAACGCAGTGCTTTTATGCGTTTCTGGCTCTGCATTAAAACGACTTTACACCGCTACTTTCCAACTTAGAAAGATAATCAAAATATTTGAATTAATAGACCAGCGCTGCCATTTCAAACATGCACACCTTTTTCAATCTTAGTTAATAGTCGGAGTCTGAAAATTTAGTGTGATTGTTGCATGGGTTAAAGAAGCTGTAAAAGTAAAAAATCCAAATTTCGGAAATTATTTTCTGCAAAAAATGTTAACACAAGTTTCTATACATGTAATGACAAAGAAGTTTCTGTCTCCATCTCTATCCACTGACCAGGGATTTAGAGCTGAAGTTTGAGGCAGCATCATGAACGGAGCGGCATCGGCGCGCAAGGCGGAAGTCCGGCGCGGACTTTCTTGCCTCATCGAACAGCGCGCCGGGGAATCGCATCTGCCCGTGAGGCGGCTTAACCTGTTGAAGCCGACACTCGGCATGATTTTTTGATGCTGCATCAATTTTGATGCTGAGCCCAGCATCAAAATTGAAGTGGCCTCAAACCTCAATTAGCAGACACGTCGGACGCCAGCACCCCGGGCCCGGCTGCCGGGCGGCTTGACAGGACGCGGTATGGGCCGCCGCGCCGTGGGAAACTTAAACAAAGGGGTGTTCCGCGAATTCATCGCAAGTCCAAGGGTCGCTTACCCCGGCGGTCTTCTGGGACAACCCCGTTGGTAATTAAGCTGGGTGGCGGGACCGAAAATTGATGCTGTGTTGAGCCGCGAGCCGAGGGTCCGGCCTCAAAAGTTGAAGCCCATGTTGGTCCCTAAGCAAGCATCAAACCTCCGCATCAGCGCTTTATGCCGGCGCGACCGGCACGCCAGCATCGGGCTTCAATGCCCGAAGCCAGCGCAGGCAGGTTGAGCGCATTAGGCTCGGCGCCGCATGCCCTCAGAGCCGCTACCTGGGCATACGGCATTAATACTGAGGCTGCGAGCCGATGCTGTACGGCATAACCTCATGAGGCGCCTCAAATCCCTGCTACTGACTATGAAGCGCAGCATCCAACCTAAACCGGGCTTATGTTTCTCATTACAAATAAATGAAATAATCTAGACAAGTATTAGCTCATACTGCAAACTATTAAACAATTGTAGCATTTATAATATTAATCCTATTTTAAATTTTTTTTTTTTCATTTTAATATTTTTCCTTTTGGAATTTTTACAGTGCATTGTCACACCGGATGGTAAACGTCAAAACACCAGCGCATTAATTGCAGGAAGCCCTTCAAAGCTTATAAAGATAAATAGTACTACAGGACAAACTCCTCAATTCGCAAAGTTGTAAGTGAATTTTCATATAATTTCAATCTAAGTTCCCTGTATGCACATTTCCAAAGATTCTTTAATTGTACTTATACAAATGGTGTATCAGTACATAATTTAAAAATGTATCCTCTTCCTCAAATTATGGAATTTTCTTTTTTTTTTAATGACATCTGGCCTCAAAGTTCTCTCTTTCAAACTAACAGTAGGAACGTCAGAAGCTGCCGCCTTCGATTTTGCTGATGTTTTTCAGAAATTCTTGGGATAATTTTATTAAACACATATTTATCTGTTTATTGAATGGACTTTATTAAAGACCGCGCAAAATATTCTCGAAAGGTCAAGCAATATAGGTGTGGCAGCTGTCTACGCATCACACTCCGGCCTAAACTTTGGGGAATTTTTTACGCGGTCGATTATGTGAAAAATATCTAAAGAAAAATCCAGCTCAATCGAAGGTGGCAGTTTCCCTTGAAAGATTCTGTAAATATATAGCGTTTTACAGCCAATATTATTTTCTTACAATGTACAGAGTAGAATGAGTTACCGATCTGCAACACCCATACACCTCCTATGAGAGCAGTGCCCTCAATTTGAACTGCAATCTTGACAAAATGGTGCGGCACCTAATGTCAACTCTTTCATTACATGAACCGCTCCACAACATATTACGTTTTAGTGGAAGCATTTCATAGAAGAAGGTCATTAAAAGAAAACATCTTTTGATCAACCATAACATCTTAACACTATTTCCATGGTGTAAGCCCATAAATACGTATCTCGTTTATCGTCGTTGCAGATTTCCCTGTCAGGCTTTGTTTTTTTTTTTTTTTTCAAAAGAAAACTGACCAAAAGTATATTAAAAAAATTTCCGTTTTTTTCCAATGAGTGAAGAACATATAAATTCACTTCGTTTTCCTTTAAATAAATAAACAAGGAGCGGAAATTTGAAAACGTCGCAACCGCAATATGTGTTTTTAGATGTTCAACATTGATTTACTATTTACATTTGGTACTACTTGATTTTACAGCGGTAGTACAGAATATCCTCGACCATGGAAGCTATAGTGTAGTAGGCAAAGTATGCAAACTGTGAGGAAATAACAAGAAAATATGGGAGGAATGCATAGTTTTTGAGTATTATTGTTTTCAACCGCCTTAGAAAATGAATAATCGCCCAGCGTGATACGCAAGGCTATTTCATGTGGTGTAGAAAATATAAATGAAACTGTACCTAAACAACCTCAAAGTAGCGCCAAATATTTGCTTTTTCCTCATTTTTCAATGGAGAAATGTTCAAAGTTTCATCCTACACAAGTAGGAGTCCCGGAGCTTTCGAGAAGCCAAGATTTAGCTCTTCATCTGTACAAACACTCCAGGTACCGTGTCGTGTGATAAAAAAAAAATTTATTATATGAAGTTTACCTTTTATAATCATTTTGTGTTTTCTAAAGGAACTATTTTTGCATACATCATAGGTAAAACAAAACACAATTTCTTACAGTACTAAATACATTTTCTTCTTTTCAGGAGCTTGTCAAGAGATAACAAGAAAATCAGCACTGTTCGTTCAGCATTATTCAAAGGTAATTTATATCAATCCCTATTTCTTTACTAGAATTCATAGACGGTAATCGTATAAATTCTGTGCCTTTTATTTACCCATTTTCTCAACGCAAACTTCCTTAAAATATTTTTTTACATTATACAAGGCAAAGCAAGAATTCTAAAAAAAAGTTAATCACTGTACAACTGAAGCTTAAAATATTCAAGAAAAACTGAAAACACTACTCTTAAAACTCACCGACTTAAAATAATTGAAACTTTACAGACAATTTTTTGTAAATGAAGATTGCATGTTCAACGGACACAACCTATTATTTTTCTCATTCTCTGAGTTAGTGCTTTCGGATAAAAATTCAAAATAAAAATCGATGTTTCATTTCACCACAATTAAATGTGAAAATACTTCAATATCTAATTTTAATATTTGTTGTTTTCTTTTTTAGATAAGGAGTTATCACCACCCCGTCGTCGAATAAAATTAGAAGAACAAGCGTTATCAGACAATGAGGAAATATTACATAGCTTGTCGGATGATGAAAAAGTGAGCTCTGACAGTGACAAAGAAGAACTTTCAATGATTAATAATTATGATGACGTATCAATCATTTCGGATCCAATGAGTGGTAAATACGTATTCTTATTTAAACTTTTTCTACATACGTTTGAAGAACTTTTAATATTCCAGTTACATCTTTATTCCATTTCCATTGACATTATGCAAAGTCTATCAAGAATTGATTCTATTGTATATTTAACGAAAAAATGATGTTAAAGTTTTGTATGAGCAACCTTTGCTTTCATGCACCACATAAGACCTGTGATGTCACACCTCCCTTACAAACAATATTAAAAGAGTGTTTAAATAACTCAAGTTAGCTGAACAATTTAACAATATCCTCGTACCTCCAATCACAACTCCAGTAATTTCTGTACTTGTTGTAGCATCAATTTTATGAGTCATGCGGCGTCACCAATCTGGTGTGTTACATGAAACAAATGGTTCCTCACTCTTAACTTCAACCTGTTTTTTCGGGCTTAATATTAAATGCACGGATTTATGCAAAAGGGAACCACAGTTTTGCTCGAAAAATAAGCCCTAGAGTAAACAGCCATAAGCCTAAGGGATTTTGGTTGTGGTTCCTTTTGGCAAAATCGAGTTTGGAAAAGTTGATTTTGACAAAAGGAACCACAAACGATTTACTATTGGTTTTAGTAGGTGCTTGAGTATCTTTTTACCACGAGAAATCTCTTATATTATTGTGTTTTGCGGAGAAGTTGCTGAAAATAAGATCATATAACCTAATATACTCGCAAAGTAGATGCAAAAAACCAAATCATAAAACCAAGATTTTCAAAATTGATCAACATGGGTGATCACGCTGAATGAAAACAAATGGCGATCTATTACAAAACGCGAAAACCTTGTCGCGCTTCTTTTATAAATGTTTTGGTGTTTAGTAGAAACCTTATTGAAAAAAACTTTTAAAAAACTCGTTCACTCAGAGAATAGACGTAATGAGTTAACTTAAAAGACCAAGTTTTTGAAAATTAATGAAGGTGAACGTGGACACAAGGTGTGAGAAAAAAGAAACTAAAATTGAGAAAAATTACGAGCACAGAGCGACTTCACTGCTGCGTTGAGGTCATCTTGCTTTCCAGTGATGTCACACGGAGTCTGTTTACTCAATGCTTTTTAAACACGGAAAAACACCCCTCTTTCCGATAAAACTGTAGTTTCTTTTGACATAACTCCGTTCAAATATAATCTATTTCCGATTTAACGAACTTTTTCTCGTGAAATTTGCACCAGAATAGTCAAATTAAACCTATTTTCTCCGACCTATGCAACAACCAGATTTCAGTTATTTTCAAAAAGTTATCATTTAAGGACGAATACCAAAATATAACAGGAGAAATAAACATGTAACTTATTTTCCAAGGTATAAAGAACGTTAGAAACTATTGATTTTTTTGAAAAATGGAAACGCATGACATGATATTAAGGTTTAAACTGTCTGAGTTTTCAGCAAAAAAAGTCAGAGAAGATTTTTCGTTCCTGAAAAACCTGCAACAATCAAAATATTTATTTTCCTACAAAAGAGTCGGAACCCTGAAATAGACTGTGAGGTTCTAATAGTTTATTTGCATAACTAAAGAAACTTTTTTTTTTTTTTAGACTTGGAATCACAGGTGAATGAACAGCTATCAGCTGATGAACGTGATATAGAAGTAGGCGATTTGCTATCAGATTCTGAAAATCATACCGAGCACCAAAACAGCGAATTGGAATCGAACGATGAAAGTGATTCGGAACTCAAAACCTTTGAACAAAAATCAGACTCTATAAGTGATACCGAAGACGAAACGAATGAACACCTTTCAGATAATGAAAATATTATGTCGGACAAAACCCAATGGAAAATGAAAGGTTATTATAAAAATTTATCGATTAATAAATGACGAACAAATTTTTTGAAATCAGTTTTACTCAAAAACTTAGAAGCTTTTATCCAATTTCTGTTCATTTTTATTACTTAAATATAAAAAAATTATAAAAAGGTTAGGCAAAAACTTCTCAGAGACGTGGGGAAATCCATATCGTCTCCTTTTTTTAATTTCCGTTTGTGATCGTTCACCTCTAATGAGCAAGATTTATTTTGCTTTTGTTATTGAGTAACATTTTAACACTATTTCCCTTCCTCCGTTGCAAGGCTCTACCTCAGTGGAAGGAACTTGCCTTCTTTTTAGTTCTTTTTTGTTGGAAATAATTTTTTACGTTTTTGTTATTAAAGTTTTTAATTTTTTAATTCATTTAGAATATGCAATGTGTATAAATTATGTACAATATTGTAAGAAAGAAGAAGAAAAAGAAAACGTAAATAAATTTAATTTAATTTAACCACATTAATTTTAAATTTGATATTATGACGAATAAAAATACAAGTTCATTAGCAAATTTTAACTTTTTCATGTTTCAGTATACTTTTTATTCTTCTTTTGCACAATTAATCTTAATTATTCGAAGGTTGAAAAATAACTAAATTGAATTGCATATTTTTCTTTACATAAAATAAAAAGAAGATAACCTTTATGTGATTTCAAAAACTCACACTTATAAATTTTAACTCTCTACGCAACCTTATATTTTAGCTTTTCACCATTACTTCATAGGAAGTTTATTATAAGTCATTACTTCTATATACATTACTTCATAAGAAGAAAATTAAATTTTGCATCAAGTTCAGTACAAATATCTGACTCAAAAAACTTAATGTAAATCTTTAATACAATACATCATATTTTTGTGCTTAATGTATACGAATTTTTATCAAATTTCGGATTAACTCACATTTACTTTTCTTTTTCGTTTTAGATCTTGTGCAGGACTCCTCAAAAAAGAAGTATGGAAACGTGAGAAAAATTGCAGACATTTCGCCGCAGATCGGAAACTTTTGGGCTATTAGAGGTAAAGTCATTAATCTAAGTAACTTAAAACAGTACAACAACCCCCCAACAGGAAAATTACTGAAATTTACTATTAAAGACGAAAGCAAGGCAATATCAATTACAGCCTTTTCAGAAACAGCTGAAGATCTCAATAAAATGTTAGATTTTAACGTTTGTGTTCTCCTTCAAAATGGATACATTAAAGACGCATTTTCCAGAAAGGAAGAAGATGATCATTTGTATGAGATTACTTGTACTCGATCAACAACAACCGAAATAATACCTTCGGACCTTCTGAAAGTTCCAGATATTCAAATTAACTTTATCGATTATTCAACTGTTAATACTTTGCCAGTTGGAAGTCAAATAAATATCCGTGGATTTATTGACACAGTGTATGATAAATACCCTATACCATCTACCAAATTGAATAAAACTTTCGAAAAGAAAATGGTGAAAGTTAAAGATTCCTTTACAAACTATCTTAATGTAGAACTGTGGAACTCTGATGTTGATCTCATAGGCAAATCTCATGTGGGGAAAAAATTTAAAATAATCCACGGCACTGTAACAACTTTTCAAGGAGCAATAAGTATTAATATTTCAAATGGTAGATTATGTTGGATTTAACCGTTTTCATCTTGAACAACTTTAAAAATGAACTTAACTCCCAGCATATTTCTTTTTGCTCATTTTTATTTTGAATAATAGTAATAATGTAACTACGATCCATGGAATATTCCTCCTCATTCCGTACTTACAATGTTTTTTATATAATGATGTTTTTCAAACGTTAAACGTTTTCAGTGTTTCACTTTTTATACTATTGCATTTTTGTACTCTTTTCTTTGGTATTACTATTCATTTTTAGCACTAGTTTATTTTTGCATTTATATGCTTTTCGCACTTTTTGCAGAATCAATCTCGGTGTTAGAAATTATTAGTTTTTGCTTTTACACAAAATTTTCTTAATGCAGCTTTAACGAAGATTTCGGTGAATCATTGTACGTGGTGTTATAGTTAGCATAAATACCTCCATATTTTCTTCCCTTTCCTTACTGAAATGTATCTGTACTATTTTAGCACTTTTACTCCGTGACCCTAGATTTTCCAAGAGTATGTATTTTTTCCTCTTTTCCCACTCCCTCTCATTACAGCAGTCCAATTTTTGCATTTAACCCGTTACTATTATACAAAGTAAAGGAAAAACTTACGTATTTCCAGCGTATCATCTCATAACATCTATATACTATCTCACGTACTTCCAATAACTATTAACAGTATCTTCGCACTGCTCAATAACAATTTTTTTTACACATTTTATTATTTATTATTTGTGTTTACATAATGAGAATTTTATTACTATGATTCTTTTAATATTTCCTGTTCTCGTTACTTGTAACAATAATTTTTCAAATATAACAACGTTTATATGCTTTTTTTTTTTTTAAATATTACTATTCATTTAAGATACTACTTCATTTAGATTTATTTGCTTTTCTCACTTTCAAATAATCAATTTAGTTGTCACAAACAATTGATTGATTTTTTCTTTCATTCAAATTTTCTCTTTACACAATGAACAAACGTCTTAGTAGTTGACGGTTGATTCTGTTATAATTATATAATCTCGTCTAATTTTATTACATAATAGACATCATTTTGCACCTACAGCATGTTATGGTTTGTAGCTATTATTATTTTATTGTTTTCTTTAACCTCTTGATGTAACTAAGTATTTTCCTAAAATTACATGCCTGGTTTTTCATAGAGCACAAAAGTAGATTCCGTAGTTTGTATCAATGTATATCTAACATTCATAAATCTTCTTTTCTATTAAATTCTTTTATTTACCTTAACACACCAATTTTTAATCTTTTCCAGATGATACGTCTATAAGTAATACATCAGACGAAGTTCTTACCCAAACCGAATTAATGACAATACCAGATAAAGTTGCCCAAAAATTTATGGATAAAATGTCTCGTGGCCCAACATTTACCTGCATGTGTTGTGACTTCAAGCATTTTAAGGAGGCAGTTTCCCACATCAGTAAACATTCACGTCTTTTATCTAACTGTACAGTGCCAGAGTCTTCTTATCGGAGTATTCAAAATACACCTCACATCTGCTTAAGATGCTTAAAATCTTTAGAGAAAAAAAAGTTGCCCCCTATTGCTGTTGCAAACGGACTAGCTTTTCCTAATGTTCCAAGTTGTGTACGAGATCTATCATCGTTAGAAGAGCGAATGATTAGTCCTTTTGTTCCCTTTATGCAAATAAGAGAACTCACACCTTATTCATTAAACCCCCAGTTAGGAATAAAAGGATCAATAGTGCATATCCCAATCGATTTAAATACAGTTTTTAAACAAATATTACCTAGATCATTTGACGACATGTACATAATATTACTTCAGTTTAAAAGATGCTTGCACCATTCGTCAAATTATTTATTTGAAACGATACGTCCCTTTAAAATCATAAAAGCTCTTCAATATTTAATTAACACACCCTTGTACAAGAAACATAAAATTAAGATAGATCCAGAATTTTTCAACCGATATTCAGAATATCCAGATGCCGAGGTAATGTTTGCAAATGACAAGGAAATCATGTCATATTTAACAGAGTTATTTCAAAATTTAAAACTTAACGATGAGAGTGCCGAAAAAGGCAAAGCAAATGATAATCAATCCCAAGACAGTGAACCAATTACAGATACTCATAACAACGCAGATCAAGAGATCTTACTTCAAAGCGGCCAGTCGCTACTTCAGAATAGGGCTAAAATAACAATTGCTCCCGGTGAGAATATGACTCCAATTTCTTCAAATACAGAAGATGTTGCATTCCTCTGCCACCCAAAAATCTACGGTGGCCATTCTTATAATTTAATACAAACTCTTACCTTGAAAGAGATTGCTAAATCTGAAATACTAAAATCAGACAGGAGAGCGTGTGAACCAAAAAAATTATTGTACACAGCGCATACCATAATTGAGAAACAAATTTCATCAAAAGTTAACATTGCTGTTCGAAGATGTAAATCAAAAACTATTACTAAAAGTGAAATTAACGACGTAGACAAATTGCAAAATTTATGCAAAGATGATGCAGCCTATTATTTACTACAAGATGTACGACCAACACCAGCATTTTCAGAGCGAAAAAAAAAAGATCTAATAGCCATGTATCGTCAGTTAGGCAAACCTACAATTTTTCTAACTTTGTCTGGCGCTGAAAAACAATGGCCAGAACTTTTATCAATCCTGTACCATAATGTCCATAATGTAAATATTACAATTGAAGAAGCTACACAGTTAGATGATTCTAAAATCGCGTACTTAATTCAACAAGACCCAGTGACATGCGCCCGTTATTTTGATTATAAAATCCGCAATTTCTTCACAATGATACTTCAAAATCCCCAAGGACCATTTCATGAATATCCTCTGATAGATTACTTTTACCGAACTGAATTCCAAAATCGTGGAAGTCCACATATTCACGCCTTTTTATATTTGAAAAATGCACCTAAGTTTAGTAAAGATTACAAAGAACACTTGGTTGAAATATTGGCTTTTATTAATCGTTTCATCACAGCACGTGCAAGTAACTTGACAAATCTTCAAATGCACAAGCATACTCACACTTGTTTTAAAGGTAAAAACAAACATAAAAAAATTTGTCGATTCAATTTCCCAAGGCCTATTTTTGACACAACAATCATCTTAGAGCCTGAAACACTAAAGAAAAAACAGGACGTAGAAAACTGGAAACTGATTGAAGCAGCCTTGAAAGAATTGTCTCACCGTGATCATGCAACAGAAGCGGCATTGACTTTAGACGATTTTCTACAAAAGAGACTGAATTCCATGTCTTTTGATGAATACATTCGAGCAATCAAGTGTTCAATCAAAACTACAACCATTTTTTTAAAACGTAACAGTCACGAGATAAACATAAACAATTACAATTATGACATTTTAAAGTTGTTCTCCTCAAACATGGACATACAAATAGTTATTGATGAGTATGCTTGTGCATCATACATAATAAATTACCTAACTAAATGTAACTCTGAGGTTTCAAGAATTTTACGCATGATCTCAGAAGAGTCTCAATCCGAAAATACAGCCGCGTCTTTCCGAAAAAAATTATACAAAATAGCGAATGTCTTTTTAAATTACTTTACAATGGGTGCCCAAGAAGCTGCATACATTATATTAGGCCTTGAATTATTTAGATCATCTAGAGCAACAGTTTTCATTAACACTAATAAACCGGAAAACCGAGCTAGAATGTTAAAAAGCAAAGCTCAACTGGATCGATTGCCTCCTAACTCAACAGATATATACATACAAGATACTATTGATAAGTATGCTCTTAGACAAGAAAGTTTTGCGCATTACTGTTTAGCAGACTATGTTGCTCAAATTAAAGATTCTGCAAAAGCTCGAGATAGCGAAGATGAAATTGAAGAAATGAATGCTAATAGACAAAAACCTAAAATTATTAGATTTTGTAATTTCAGTTTGATAAATTCGGAAGAAGAATACTATCGAGAGCAAGTAATGCTATTCTTACCATGGTCTGACGAACAAGAGGAATTATTAAACGCCGATTGCAAATATAAATATTTTCATCCAGAATATTCCATTATTATTAAAAATAATAAAGCTAAATACTATGACGAAACCGCAGATTCAACTTTTGAAAATTTTGAAGACATTATGAATAAATTCACCATTGAAAATGACGTTCTTAGCAACTCGGACCTCAACTACAAAGAACTAACTCATTATACAGATGATTTACTTGGAGCTGAACCGGAAGTCTCAGAGAATGTTAAAAATAATTTATTACGAAACGTTCCTCTTTTACAAGTTGACGAATCTGACAGTGAAATACTTAATACTCTGAATGACGAGCAACGGCCATTTGCCCTTCAAGTTCTTCATAATTTCAAGACGGGTGCCATACCTTTTCACTACATTTTAAGTGGTGCCGCTGGCACGGGTAAATCTTACACAGTTAAAGGCATTGCAAAATTAGTAACGAATTATTTCAACTCCTTACCGAATGAACCTCTAGACATGGTGAAAGTATTAATTGTATCAGTAACCGGAAAAGCTGCCTTTCTTGTGAATGGAACAACTGTTCATACAGCTTATTCGTTACCAATCAGTCAGTATTCGAAAGATTTGCCAGATCTCCGAGCTGACATTGCTAATACTATTCGAAAGCATTACAGCTCTGTTCGATTGATTATTTTCGACGAATGGACCATGTTAGGAAAGCGTTTACTGTATCAAGCAAACATCCGACAACAACAACTCTCTGGCAATAATGCACCTTTAGGAAACATCCCAGCAATTATGGTAGGAGATATATATCAATTAAATCCAGTTTTTGACATTCCTCTGTACGATAAAAGTAAACTAGACTTACGATTTCTTAATATAGATCATTTGTGGTCATTATTCAAATTCTACGAACTTAAAACCATTATGCGTCAAAAAGAGGATTTAAAATTTTGTAGAGCTCTTACCAATTTTGCAGAAGGACAATTGACAGATGATGATTTGCGTTTATTTAACAGTCGAAATATACAACAGAATAATCTCAAATTGCCGAAAGACACAATCCACCTATTTTTCGACAATAAATCAGTTGACGATTGCAATGAGAAGTTACTGTCCCTCAAGAAAGGTTATAGCACTACTTCTAGAGCAATAGATCAAATACATGGACCAATCACTGATACACAAAAAAAATCTATCTTGCACACGTACAGTCTTAGACACAAAAAATTAACTCAAAATATAGCGTATGAAATTTTTTTAAAAATTTCTGGCAAGTACATGATTGTATCAAACTTAGATATACGTGATGGTTTAGTGAACGGAACAGTTGGGGAACTCAGACGGATTGTAGAAAAGAATAATGAAATTAAAGCTCTCTTTTTCGATTTTAAGGAAGAACGGATAGGGCGTGATGCAAGAAATAATATAGACACTCAATATAAAAAAATTGCCGGAAAGTTCACACCCCTTTTAAGAAAAACGATTACTATTAAGAATAATCACTCCAGCAAAACAACCATTACTCGAACACAATTCCCTATTACAGCCGCAGAGGCAGGAACTATTCACAAGTCACAAGGAAGTACTTACCCTTCTGTTTGCCTTCATTTAAATACCATTAAAAAGCCAACCACAAATCTACTATATGTAGGATTAAGTAGAACACCATCACTTAGAAACTTATTTATTGACGGAGAGTTAAAAAGATCTCATTCCAAAGTCAACAAATTACTCCGCGCAGAATTACAACGTTTACGAACTCATGCTAAATTAACTTTACCACTATTCGATAAATATAAAGAAGGCTGCTTCACGATCTTCTATCACAATGTAAGAACTCTTACTTCACAAAAAATCCAGGACATTCCTTTAGATCCGCTATTCTCAAAGCATGATCTCGTTATATTTTCAGAAGCTAAAGTCAGAAATGTTCCACCAACAGCTTTCCAGCCTTTCAACGTTCAACATATCTCTGGATCGCAACAAACTGACAACTTTCCAAATATTTTATGTTTAGGAAAACAGCCGTTTACATTTATTAAAAATTTTAGAGAAGTAAAGAACAAAAAAGTCTTGGACTTAACATTAATTAAATTACAACAAGTATACGTTATAACTGGTTACGCAACACCAACAACAAGTAAGCACCTATTTCAGAAACAAGTGAACATTTTAGCAGACTTAGTGCCGTTTACTAGTAAACTAATAATTATCGGGGATTTTAATTTTGACAACTGTTTAGCAAACAACAGACAATTTTTCCAATTTTTAATTCCCCAAAGACAGCTTAGATCAGGTTTTTCAGCAGACAGCGTTACGACTATATACGGATCTCAATTAGACGTAATATACACAGATTTAGAAACTTCAAATTCC